TCGTTTTGCTAATAAACATTCTACGTTTCTTATTTAATTGGTTATGTATTATACATGTTTACTTATTTCCAGTTTTGTATACCTATTTAATCTTTATGTAAGTGTATTTGTATTTGTTTTGTTAATAAAAGTTCTATGTTTTATATATAGGCTAAAGTGAGTTTGACGTTGTATTTTGTTGTTGCATTCAAGCAATTGACGCCGAACTGCCGCTAATTCGAAAGTGAAAGTAAAATGCGCACGGCGCTTTTAAGCTATTTAAAAGCGAAAGAAAAGCGAGGAAAAGAGGGAAAATTCAAACGAACTAAAAACGAACAATTGCTTTACGCCGAATTGCCGCTGTTTGAAAGTGAAAGTAAAATGCGCGCGCAGCTTTTACAAGCTATTTAAAAGCGAAGGAAAGTGAGGAAAAGAGGGAACGCCCCCGCGGTGATACCAGGATTACCGGTGTTGTCACGTCGATTAACCGGTGGGAAAATTTCCTCACCGTCACAACCCTAATCCAGATTTCAAACTGACATGCCAGTGACATCGTTGCCATTGACACAAAAACGAATGACAAAAAAATCGTAATGTTTTAAAATAAAACAAGTTTATTCCTGTACTCGGCTGTGCTGCTATATAGTTTGCAACTGTATTTGCAGATATAATCGAGGAAGATGTGATCAAACTGTGTATTTTTAATTTTTAATAATATTTCTAAATGTATTAACAGCAGAACAGTTGCTTATAGTTACTCATACCAGGGAATATGAGTAATCCCAGCAACCTTAATTTAGGTTAAATGTCTTTAAGGGTGTTCAAAGGTCATATTGTTTTCTTCTTTGTACTGTTTTCAGTGTAAAAACGTAGTGAATATGTAATTCTTTGGCTCTGTAAACAGCGCTTTTATTGTCCCACCCCTCTTCTCTCCACAGGGTGTGGTTATGTGCTGTATGCATTGATCGATGCAGCGCTGCCCAAGAAGAAGGATTGAACATGCCCCTCTATTCATGTTGTAAAGACCTCTGATCCTCAGAAAGATATGTCCTGTCAGTTATTTTCATTACAATGGATTCATATTTATTGATTGTAATGTAAAGCGCAATCATTATGCAATAAAACGTTCCACTGTACTGGCAGTCTGTGTTTGAAGTTTTCCTCTCAACTGGGTTTTCATTAAATTTCATTAGATTTAAAGTCACGTTGCAGCAGTAGTGACAGATCTTTTCTTCCATTCTGTGAATCCCGTGCATGCGATTGAAACGGATTATTGGAAAGATTCCGGGGCGGGACTTGGTTCTTGATTTTTGGTTGTTGATTGGATGTTGAGATGTGGGCGTGGCACTCACAGAGGCGGGGCTTATGTGTCCTCTGTACATCACCAGAGGAATGAATGTCTGTCATCCAGTTATGACACTGATTAAACATGACAAGTTCAAAAAATAAAGTTTCAAGCATGTTCATGGATGAATCATGCACTATAACGTGCATTTAGAAAACCGGGTGAATTTTAATTTCATGTTGACTTTAAAATATAAGTACATTTCAAACCAGCATCTCATCTTGATCACATTCTCAACTTTTTCTAGAACTGAAGAAGGAATCTTGAGGATAAGACTGTCCCCATGTATATGAACTCTATAGTATGGAGGATAATTGTTCAGCATTGCTGTATGTTAATTATGTTAGAAATATACTAATAGTAGGGTTTTTTTATGCTAAAGAATAGTAGCCAACAAATAGGCTAATTGGGGGCAGTCGTGGCCTAATGGTTAGAGAGTCGAGTCTCAGGTCCTTGAGCAAGGCACCAAACCCCGAACTGCTCCCCGGGCGCCGCAGCAATATGGCTGCCCACTGCTCCGGGTGTGTGTTCACTACTGTGTGTGTGTACTTGGACGGGTTAAATGCAGAGCACAAATTCCGAGTATGGGTCACCACCATACTTGGCCACGTGTCATTTTTTTCACTTTTAAATATTCCTTAGTATTATTAAAATGAACTAGTTAGAAATAATGAATTTTAGTAGTTATATGTGAGAAAACCTGATCTGCACTGGAAAAAAAAAGTTTGTTGGAATAATTTCCCCTCAGAAATAGCTAGTACATTTCACAAAGAAACAGGAAATAGAACATTAAATTAAAGTAAAATCTTGAAGCAGAAAAAAATAAAAGTATTTTCTTGTAAAACGCATTTAGTTTTTTTGGAATCTCTCTCTACCGGTAGTTTCTCCCGTGGGATTCTCCCGTGTCTCTGATTTAAAAGCGGGGGCTCCGTTCTTGAGGAATTTCGTAAGGGAGTAAAGTTGGGAACAACCCCCTATTTAGTGTCAGGTTGAGCTCAGATTCCTCCCATTCTCCCAGAGGTTTTCCCTCACTGCTGGAGGAGCGAGAGGAGGCTCTCAGTCTGTCTGCAGGGGGACATCAGCCTTTACTTTCCATGTGTGATATTGACGGACTATTACAGGTCTGAATATGATTTCTTCACTTCTTTCAAACATTTCAAAAGAGTTATTTAGATATTACAGGAGCCGAAATGAAAACTTTGTTACAAAGACATCAAAAAAAGGTTCAACTGCAGACTTTTGCAGAAAGTTACTACAGGATTTTTAACTGCTCATAAGTGTTCTTGCAGGGATTTAAGTCTCTCAAGTTAAACTTAATTGTGCAGTTATCAAAAGTCAAAAGACATGCAACAAAATCACTCAGTTTGAAACTTTTTCCAATGTCAATGTCATCCAATCACAGTTGACAGCTGCTGGATTCCCATTAAAAGCCTTAAAGGGTTAGTTCACCCAAAAATGAAAATTCTGTCATTAATTACTCACCCTCGTGTTGTTCGAAACCAGTGAGACCTTCATTCATTTTCGGAACACAATTTAAGATATTTTTGATGAAATCTGAGGGCTCTCTGACCCTCCCATAGACAGCAAGGTAACTACCACGTTCAAGGTCCAGAAAAGTACCAAGATGATCGACAAAGTAGTCCGTGTGACATCAATGTTTCAACTGTAAAGTTACGAAGCTACGAGAAAACTTTTTTTGCGCGAAGTAAACAAAAGTAACGACTTTATTCCACATTTTCGTCTCTACTCCGTCACTTTGGACGTGCGGTCACGACACTACCATGA